TCAACTTATCCACGCGACAACATTTCTTCTCGCTTCGAGTCACTGACATGTGGAACAGCCTCCCTGAAGATATTGTTGACGCTCCGAGTATGAACGCGTTCAAGAACAGACTAGACAAGGCCATGCATGAGCATATGTTCAGTCTTAAAATGCCTCGTACCCTACGGAACAACTGATATCTAGGAGCGATTTTAAATCTACCGTCCGTAAGGCCAGTCTAGTCAAGAAAAGTACAAGAATCGGCGACAGGCCTATCCAGGCCTATTTATTTAATGCCGAAGATACTATACTACTATACTATACTATACTAATAAATAGATGGAGGATAGAATTAATTTGGTAGATACACAGTTTAAATTCTGAGACCTGTACAGATTGCTGTGAAGATTTACTCTATCCAGTCTTTCTTAAATAATCTCTTCCTAATTATTTATTTTATACCGACTAACAGTTCGCAAACTCTTGTGACCGAAAGACTTATTATGCATCCATAAATATTAAGAATTAAAAACCGGACTGGCAATACCAATGTGGAAATGTGGTGGGAAAAGTGATAGAGCCATAGAAGTGATTTAATTTTCGTAACATTTAGTTGCACGAGTTCAAATGGAAAATAAGTATCAGGGACTCAATTCATTATTTATGGTGAAGGTGAGATGCAGAAAATAAGTTGACTTTTTAACTTTGTTCGCCTATTTCGTAACTGTGAACAAGGAGCCTCTAATGCAACCAACTAAATGTATGCGATGACCTGAGTTTGGAACAAAGGCGATTTCTGAATTACATGAAAAGCACAACTCCATACAGTCGGCATGAACATTCCTTCAAAAGGTAATTGATTTTTAACGCTGACCTGGACAACAATGAATGATGTGGCGTTGTACATATATTTCCAGCGACCATGTACATATATTTTCTCGAGTTACCTTTACCCCCGTGAGTCATTTTCCATGAACAGTTGGAGATTTTTGCCATTATAATTAAGGACTGCTACCGTCTAATTGAATTCCCTATTTTCTGTCCATGCCATTTTATTTAACATCATTACCTATAACTAACTGCAATCTAAATACGCGTAAATATTATACTATCATAGCTTTAGTAAGCTGGTCACTAAATCTTGATACGACTAATGGGATAGTTCCTCCAGCTTTTCAATCTCACTGCGAGAAGCAGATGTAAAACCCCAGCGCAGTCTGGTCGCTGACTTACACGCTTTAGCAGAACTATAGGGCGTTTGCTACAGAAAAATGTGAGGCGCGAGTTAAACTTAAGGGACTCATGCCGCACCTGCCAGCATCTCCACGCTTTACAAGTTGAAGGCGTTGAAAGAGCCGGAAATTTAGAGCTAAGGGATGTCTTTAGCCTCTACAGTTTACTGTTTTACGTAATATCTATTTATTTATGAGAAAATATAATTTACATGGTGTTTTTGTAGACGGAAGAGGAAAACATCGAACATAAAAATGTAAAATTAAAATGAAGAAGAACTCAAGAATTGACAGGAGTAATACTAATTTTTTACATTGATAAATTTCATCATAAATAAATTTATTTATCATCAAAAATTTTATCATAAAAAAGTCTCCAGCTGGAGACTTTTTTATGTCCCCCATTTTACGTTTCCTTTAGGTTTTAACATTTTATGTTTTCTCAAAGAATCATACGAACAAAACAAGCTTGTATTATTGTTCTAGATGTGTGCATAAAATTTCACAAAGATCTAACAATTAGTAAACGAGTTGTTTCCCCTAGACCCTCAGCCTTATTAACAACTCACCAAAGTCGACAGGAGGAGACAGACGGAAATTACCAACTTGGCCTTCATGGTGACGGATGGACGTTATTATTTATTTTTGAATGTGAACTGATACAAGACTTTTAAGTAATAAATAACTGTTGAAAAACACAATATTATTATTATTATTATATGTTGCGTGAAAACGGAGTTTTGAAATCTTTATGGTAAAATCTAAGGAATAGAACGGATTTTCTCAATTAGGTCCATGGAGTTAATTTTTAGACCTTTTTAAATACAATTAAATGGATTTGATAATATCAATTAAAAAAAAGAATACTCGAGACTAGCTGGAGTCAGCTGTGTAAATGTGTAACGGTATAAGCACACACAATTCAATAAATCAAGTGGTTAATATACATTCACAACTAATTCATAATCTATTTGACGCCTACAAACTATCCTAATGCATCACTTTCGTCTGATATTTGAGTTCTCCTGATATGAGATTCTATTTTTTAAAAGTATTGCCCAGATCTGTTTCTTCCATCTCCTCCTTGGATTTAGAAGTTGACCAACCGTAAGTTCGTGTCAATTGAAACAACGAACGATTACTAATTGTTACTGTCACTATTATATCGTAAATATTTATTCAATTCTTCTTTTTCATGTGTACCGCGTAAAAATCAACCCACTAAAATTCGAACAAGTCTGAATGTAATTACAACAATATATGTTACCAGCACAACAACAAAATCAGGCTCCAGAAGCGCTGCCTAGAACCACACGTATAAAAATATCCCATGAGTACACCTGCTTCCGTACTCATACTGTTAATTACCCGTACGGCTAATAAACCACAAATTAAATCAGAAAATTGAGCAGGAAAAAAATACAACTCAAGAACAACCAAACATTCGAAGAAACACACACAGCACTAGCAAATTTACACGGAACGCACATAATAAATCTACCACAGAGACAGTTAAGATGTTATGTTTCGCGATGTGACCAAGAACTTCGAAAAGAAATGGCACACCGGACTGGTATACAAGATCACCTGACTAAACCTTGACCGTCCTTTACACAAACTCTGTCTTACAGACATAACTGCTTCCCTCAGAATAGGCAGTCTCGTAGGATCTCCACTCCAAGTGCACGCATCTCTTCAATTAGAATAGAATAGAAATGTTGCCGATTCTTGAATTTTTCGTGACTTGATTCACAAGGGATCCGGCCTTTGGAACCCGATCTTTCCATAACTGACGATTGGCTTGCTTCTCACTCGCCCGAAAGACAAAGCCATTACGGACTTACACAAAATATACAGGCTTTAACATCTCAAGTCGAGCATCAAAGTCACCTATTCCTTGTTTTTTGTAGAATCATCCCTCATACACCCTTCCAAAACCTATGCATACTGAATCAAAATCATTTGTATCTAAATTTAGAATAATATGCGTTCAAAAATTACTTTTTACAGACAACACTTCTAAAGAATATAGTTTCTCCGATGTTACACATGTACAATGAATTTCTAATTTTATTATCAAATTAAAAAAAGGGATTTTTAAATTTTATTTTTAAAATTAAAAAAAATTAATTTTGCAAAATTATTTATTCTGTCAGTTGAATCATGCATTGTCTCCTACTTTACGCAAGTGTGCAAATTTTCAGATAGATTGGGCAGGTAGAAGTGTGTTAAATATCAATTATAAGATTTGTAGCAGACAAAATTATTTTTTCAATTTTTTAATATTGAAAACAAATTTTTTTTTATTTAAAAATAATTTATTTTGTTAATTGATTCATACATTGTCTCCAAATTTACGCAAGTGTGTAAAATTTCACATCGATTGGACAGGTAGAAGCGTGTTAAATATCGATTATAAGATTGGTAGCAGACACACAACAAGAAGTGAAGAGAATTGTTGAAAAATATTCGAGAAAAGTATTGCGCTTCATCATAGATACACACTTCTTACGCTCACAAATGTTACACGTGCAATGCCACATGTCGCCATAAACACAGTTATCCACCAGCAAAAATTAGTCCCCCAGCTTTTTAACTAACTGAGCTCCTCGGCAAACACCTTCACAAAATATTGCAAGCTATTCAGAAGCTCTGAACTACTCGCATTATGTCCTCTGCTTCCACCCGTGAACACATATTTATTCACCAACCTCCACACACTCTCTCCACCTTCATACAAAGCACACTATCCCTAGGCAGAATTTGCGATTGCGTTTCTAAGTGCAGTTGGTCAATGTAAAAATGACGCAATTTACTTCCACCTCCTTGCATACACTTTCACCAACCTAAACATAACCTACAGGCCTGCTGCACCTGGACCTCAGTTTCCATAATAAATCAATGGGCAAGTACGACGACCACGCTTACAGAAAGTAGCGCTTTCGGTGTAGACGATAAACGATGAACTTGATCACAAATACTAAAATCCCCTCATACCCTTAGAGTACCGTGAAATTTACCACTCATTATCATAATCATCATTACCGTTACCGTACGTATAATTTGTATTCATCCTAAAAATATAATAACATTTAGATAAGTTTATGAACGAGTCCGTCACCGACTACTCACTCGTGTGTAAAAACCCAGCAAAGCCACGACGAGTTTCTTCCTTCACTTCATACCGCACCATATTCTCAGGTATCTCCCTAATAAATATAATGCGCCTACCTTTGTTCCAACCTACCATTTCATTTTTTCCTTCCTCTTTCTGGCCACACTTTGGCTTTTTAACGCATTTTCTCATTTATGGAAAAAAGGCGCCATTGTGCTCGTCATGTCCGTCCGTCTGTTTGTCCGTCTGTCCGTCCGTCTGTGACCACGTTTCCGTCGACGAGGAAATGCACTCTCTGTCACTCACTGCAGTGAGTACTGAGTTATATTTTTTGTTCTTTTCCACTTCAAAGGCACCGTAACATACACACATATATGATCACTCCAAATTCGGAATAATATTCTCCGGTGTCCCGGGGATTCCGAAAAATTTTAAGAACTTTCACCACTTGGACACTTGACTACGTTGGGCTTGACCTAGTGGAGGCCACTGCACACGTCCCACCACGAATGTGTCGAATAAACCTTGAACGAAGGAACTTTGCCGTCCGACTGGAGAGAAGCTCAAGTAACACCATTGTTCAAAAAAGGTGACAAAAGCAGCCCCGGCAACTATAGCTTCAAACATGGCACGTCAACAAGCCAAACAATGACAGGTGAGCGCTTCAAACATGGCACGTCAACAAGCTAAGCAAATACAATTACTCCTAACGCATGCTTGACAGTGATCAAAATAAAGGCATGGGTTTAAAATAAGTATTCAGGCAACGTTAACACAAGTGCAATGTAAATAATAAGCTTCATATCGAAATAATAGGACGGATCTTGTGTCACAAGATGGCACCGAAATAGGCTACATTATTTCAGAAAATTCTGCCTGTCTGCTACAAAGAATTTAGCCAAGTAGAATGGGAGAAAAAAGAAGATAAAGGCACTGAAATTAACTCTTTCGGTATTTTAAATGAGAACTGATAATTGAGGTAAATAGAGGAAACAAATATAAAAACTAGAAGCTGGAATGTTACCACTATTGCGGAAATTTATGAGTCAAAATTTAAATGAATATGTCTTCATCCGTTTATCCGTTCTCAAAATTGAATTCGTCCAAAGTGAATACTACGTCCTCAGATCCATCCTCTTAATCCGTCCTCCTTATCCTGACGCATACCGAAGAATCCGTCCTCCTTATCCGTCCAGGACGATTCTTGATATCCATTCCCCTTATCCGTCCTCAAATTTGTCCTCAAATCCGCCCTCAAATACGTCCTCAAATCCGTCCTCAAATACGTCCTCAAATTCGTCCTCAAATCCGTCCTCTAATCCGTCCTCAAATCCGTATTCAAATCCGTCCTCAAATCCGTCCTCAAATCCGTCCTCAAATCCGTCATCGAATCCGTCCACAAATCCGTCCAGAAGTGAATCCGTTTAACAGTGTTTCTGTACTCAAAATTTAAGTGAATCCGTCCTCAAAATTTAAGAGAATCTGACAAAATTTAAGTGAATAAGCCCTCAAAATTTAGGTGAATAAGCCCTCAAAATTTTAGTGAATCCGTCCTGAAAATTTAAGTTAATTCGTCGTCAAAATATAAGTTAATCCGTCGTCAAAATTTAAGTAGTCTAATGCACGGCCGTCCCAAGCGCGCCCCTGAAGTCAAGCAGCCGTGATGTTGTTGTCTCTCATGTCCAGGCCTGGAACATCGCAAGCTTCATTTGTATGCCATCTTATTCTGACAATTGTTGTTATATCATAAACATTCAAATATATTCCGTGTAGAAAGAAGTGCAAGACACGTTTAGTTAATTTATACCTCGTACGTCAAATTATTTTTTTATAATTGTTATTTATTATTTTGATGATATTAGACTTATGCAAAGACGAGTGTTCTCACCAGACAACTTAAATTTTCAAGCCAACTTTTTGCAGAATTATAAGCTTTTTCAGTGGAAAGCTAAACGAAATCAATAAATTGAATTGACGTATAACATAAACCCAATGCTGAATCGATTTGATATTATACAAAAGCTTATGAAGGGAGGCTCACCTTTATTAACCAAAACAACATACACCATAATATGAGCTGCAGTCAACGGCCTTCAAACGCCGATTACTCGGGATGAAGATGGCACACGTGTCGGTTGTTGGCTGCACATAATTGTCCCAAGCGCTGTTGCTGACAGGCAGGACCTTCATGCTGCTGGTCCACTTCCATTCGCCGCTGTTAGAGTAGAACTTCAGGTCGATCCAATAACCTGCAACAAACGACGGGATATTCGTTGAAAATGTGAGAGCTGTAAATTCCCAAATGTTCGTCCGCCTCTTTGTATGATCTGTACTTTCAGATGCAAGAATATTAAAGTTTATACTGGGGAAATTCTACCAAATATGCGAACATCAATAGGTATTGTTTTCAATCAGGAAAATCGTTCCTATCCAATTAATTTATAGTCAAATAAAAACCAAGCAACGTGCCAATGGTTACCATTTAATTTCTCAATATTCAAAACAATATAACCCGTTTCACGAAATTTCTTCGTTGGGTTTAAATAGATGGTTTACATTATAATTACTGTTTTTCTGTTAAATTAAGGCGAATGTCACTTTTTTAATTAGATTCTCATATCACCTCTATTAAAAGAATCCCTTACAAGTATTTTCATTTTATTTCAAATGTATAAAGAACAAAGCATTAGTGGAGTTAGTCACTGGCTCTTGAGGAAAAACTGATAAACGGCTTGCATCAAGCACAAGCATTGGTATACCGAATACGCAGATCGACAGGACACGCGCTATTCTTATTTGCAGTAAAACAATTTATCTAGCTTCATTATTAATAAAACTCCTGGAAATCTCCATTTCTTCCACTTCTAATTCAGCCAATCACAAACTTGAAAATATTACTGACAGGTGCAATTCATGACCCTTGTAGCTGTAGCAGTCATCCCTATGGCAAGAGTTTTCTGTACATCCAAGTGTATTTTGTGTCGACTTCCTGTGAATAATAATTAAAAGAAGAAACAGTGGACCACTTGCAGTTACATTATAGGCAAGCAAAGGAATTATGGACCAGTAAGCCAACAAACCAGGACAACAGACTGACGAAAGTAGACTCCGATGTCATCCTGCCTAGTGTGGTTCTTGTCCTTTGTCGCCTTTAGCCAAAATGGACAAAGCTAAAGAAAATACGTAGAGATGGACGTATTTGTAACGTCAGCCCAACCACAACTCCGGTTCAGGACACTTTTCTGACGAAATAGAATGACCTGACAATAAATTGTTGGGAATTATGTATAAATCCTATAATTGGATCCAATCTTTATGTTCGGTGCGTCTATCTAGTCTGGAAATTATTGCTTACGGTTTCTGAATGTGAGAAATCCAGCCAAGCTTCTCAAGTACATCTCCTCGTCAAAAGATTGCAGTCCGAGGTTCACACACAAGGCGGTGATGTTGTTCGTGGAGGCAGGAATCCACCAATTATACCATGCCTCACAACTCTGTAGGATTCTATCGTAGACCCTCCAGTTGCCGTCATCAGTTCTAACTGTTGGTATTAAGTACGCATTAGTGTTTTACTCTGAGAAACGTTATCACACACAGCTGCGAGTCTAATACTTCTTCATAACTTAACAAAGTCTCAAAATTAAAAAAAAAATTGGCGTCTCGAGCAAAAGTTTATTTCTTCATCGGTGGTTCTTCATGTACAATAATTTAATTGTGTAACCTATTCGCTGTAGCATCTTTACGACCGCTGCTAGGCAGATCATCTCGCGTCCAATTATAGACTGGCGGTTCATCGTTTTCTTCGAAATTCATTGACAAGAACATTTGAATACCAGTGAGTGAGTACCACTTACTCGTCGACATATGCAAGAACATTTGAACACCAGTGAGTGAGTACCGCTTACTCGTCGACATAGAAAAAAAATGACTCGCTCATTTGGTTAAAGTGAAAATGAAATATTTCAACTATAATTCCATAATTTTTTGGGTTTTTCAAGCTTAAAATCATTAAGATCGTAACGAGTGCACCGTAAAGGCATTGCCCAGGATGATGCCATCCTAGCCGCTCGCGTCACCCCGACCGCCCCAAATGAGTTCATACTGAATGACTGTGACATAACGCGCTTTTGTCGCTGTATCTTTGCCAAGAGTGAATAAAGTTACCCCTAATCTTTTTTTTTATGTGAGTTCTAGCAATGCTAAATCTAATTTTGTACGAGTATTTCATTCCTTAATTATATGAAGCAATGCCACAACAATTTATTGAAGAGACTATTTTGATAGTACAAACTAGTACGCTTCACGAATTTCACAGTTACAAATATTTGATTATTGCACAAGATCCATGAACAGGATTTACGTGGATTAAAGGTCCGGAAGGTCGTATTTATCTGCACTCCGTCGACGGTTTGGATGGTCGTTCGTAACGTATTGAACACATCTAATGTTTGGCAGGGCAGGACCAAGGTGGTGTTGCTTTTCGGCACCTCAATGACGGTGTCTTTATAACCAAACGACGATTCTGTTAAAGTCACCTTGAAGCCTCTGACGAGATTGCATGAATCGCCTGCAATAGTAAAATTTGTCATCTAAAATACCTCTACATTACTACAAAGAGCCGAAGTACATGAAAATTTTCATTTCAATCCCAAAATAGAGAGGACAAATTATCTTGCCGTGCCTACATCATGAATATGACTGCCATTTTGTATTTACGAGTACATTCTGTGTTTTACTTTAAGAAGAATAAATGACAGCAAATATTTGGGAAATAACTCTCCCCAAATCATAATCCATTTCTTATTTCCAATGAAGTAGAGTTTTAACAACTTTTTTGAAGAAACATATCAAGTATGTAAAGGCCTTTAGTTTAGTTTACTCTATTTTCACACATAATTTCAATTCAAACTCATGAATCCAATCGAATTTCACAGCAGCTGACTTTTGTTCTTGACTTAAATTTTAGCATAAATATTACCACAATTCACTTCGAATTTGAAGTAATACAAATAAATCCATTTACTGAAACTTTAAATCGGTTATTGCTCCGGCAATAAATTTCCAATATGATTCGAAATGTGCGCGTAAATTTGTTCTGTTCGTTTGACCGATCATCAAACTCTTCGATGTGTTGTTGAGAAATATGTCTCATATTTTATAAAGGAGATTAGTTCCAAAATTTAACTGCACAGAATAAATTTATCGTAAGTAAGATGGTCATAATTGAGGCAGCATTACTTGTAAATCAATCAATTAGGCTATGAAGCGATCACGAATGAAAATTTCCGCTATCTGCGCTTGATTCCGCACCATAAATTTTACGTCACGTCGCTTGTTTGACATGCATCGTCTTACTCTGAATCACGCCGGCGAACGACAAGTCGGCTGCGGACGCATTCATTGTAAGGTGGTAGGTGAGTGCTGAAGAGTTGATTACCAATCCTGGGTACAAATTTCATGGATTAGAATTTTCTTAAGTAAAGAAGTGTAAATAGTTCGAAGAAAATCTCGCCTGGTCAATTCGCTGAAACTCGAAGTAATAGATAAACATTATAAATGTTATTCTTGACAAAAATCATTCGCAATAATTTTGCATTTTCTTTTCACCTCCCACTGGGATTTGGTACAGGCTGCTGGGTCCCCAAGGCTGCCCCATGACGAGGCGGGTGAGCACGAAGGTTAAGTTTGTACAAGTCCCTTTCACTGCTGTCACCACCGCATCCCCACTCGACACAACCTTCGTTTGGCCGTCAAACTCGAGCTGGTACGTGAAGAAGCACCGACTTGTGCTCTGGTCGTTAAAAGTGACGTTGAAGATCACTTCCGGGCCGTTGTACGTTGTGACGACGATGCTCAAGTTCGACACCTTAGGTTCTGTTGGTTGACAAAACTGTGTCCATCAGAGGTCACTAAATTTGTCTAACATAAATTTCACTATCCATGTGAAGTTTATTTCAGAGGTAGGTTTTTCACGCAGTCCACCATCTGACCAGCAGGTGCCACCAGCTGAGTGGTGACGTAGATGACGTGGTCCCCCCCAGAGGTGCAGGAGGCACCCACAGGCCAGGGCACGCGGGTGCCCCAACACGCACCGTCATGCAGAGCAAAGGTCGTGTGGTCTGAAATGATGACTCTACTGAATTATTGGGTAGGCGGTTACCATTATTTGATCGGCACCCTAAGCATCACCTGAGGTCTCTAGAATCTTCATGCTGCACAGTTTACAAAGAGGTATAAGGCTATTGAAGAATTGTATAACACACGAGAATTGAACTAATCGAAGGCTCATCATTCACATCACTTAAAACTATTTAAGGCAGCACTGACTGGTCTTGGCGGCCTGCTCCGCACAGGAGCGCAGGTCGGCCGCAGACACGAGCTTCTCCTCCAGGGTCTTCAGGCAGTCGTTGGTTGCGGCGGTGACGGCGCGACGCGTGTAAGTGACGCCTGACTTCGTCGCCAGGGACCGAAAGTTGACGTTGACGGACCGCGACGCGCAGGACGACATGCCGGACTTGGTGCCGTAATACTTGACCTGTTTGAGGTAATACTCGTAATTATTTACTGAGAATAAGTATGTAAATGCTATTTTTTAGATGGCAACACCGAAAAGCCGTATTCTTATGTAGATAATGCAGCGGATTCATTCCACAGTTTTTAGACAACAACCCAGCAAAATGTTCATACTCACCGCGACAGTGTACTCATCAGCGCCGGTTCCCTGCAGAAGATCAAGTTACCATGTTAAAAGATGGATAAATATAAGTACCAAATAAAATGAAAAACAATGAACAAAATAACTAATAAATAATAGGTGGATAGAACTATTTTAGTAGATACACAGTTTAAATTCTGAGACCTGTACAGATTGCTGTTCAGATTTGCTCTATCCAGTCTTTCTTAAATAATCATTTTCTAATTATTTATTCATATACCGACTAATTGTTCTCAAACTCTCGTGACCGAAAGACTTGTCACGAAGAATTAGATATGAAGAATTCAAAACCGGACTGGCAATACCAGTGAGGAAATGCAGTGGAAAAATGTGATAGAAGGGATTTAATTTAGCGTAACATTTAGTCGCATGAGTTCATACGGAAAATAAGCATCAGGGACTCAATGCATTATTTATTGTGAGGGTGAGATTCAGAAAATAAGTTGACTTTTTAACTTTGTTCGTCTATTTCGTAACTGTGAACAAGGAGCCTCTAATGCAGCCAACTGAATGTATGCGATGACCTCAGTTTGTAACCAAGGCGATTTCTGAATTACGTGAAAAGCACAATTCCATACAGTCGGCATGAATATTCACTTGAAAAATAATTAATTTTAATATTATTATTAACGCTAAACTGGACAACAATGAATGATGTGGCGTTCTCGTTCAAGAGTTTGTAGCGACCATATACATATATTTCTTCGAGTTACCCGCGCAAGTCATTTTCTAAGAACGGTTGGAGATTTTAGCCATTATAGTTCAGAGCAGCTACCTGTTAATTGGATCTCGCTATTTTTTTATGCCATTTTATTTAACATCATTATGTATAACCAACTGCAATCTAAACACGCGTAAATATTAGTTATCAACATTACTATCATAGCTTTTGTAAGCTGGTCACCAAATCTTGATACGACTAAGGCCCCTTTCACACAGGGCAGTAAATACTGCCAGCGTCCGACAGTATTTACTGCCGAACCTTAGCGGACATACGAAATGTGCACTGCTGTTCACACACGACTGCATTTACTGCGGCGTAGAACTTGACGCCTGACGCCAGCGTGTGTCGCGCTAAAACTGCGGCAGTAGATTTGTCGCGACAGTTTAGCTTGCAATGGTATTCAATGTAATCTTTCACACTGGGCGGTTTTTGACGCCAGATCCCAGCAGACAGTGGGGGCCGTATTTAAGGGACTCATACCGCACCTGCCAGCATCCCCACGCCTTACAAGTTGAAGGCGGTGGAAGAGCCGGAAATTTGGAGCCAAGGGATATCTTTAACTTCTACAGTTTGAACATTGTTTCACTTAATAGGCTACTTATTTTTGTGAATATATAGTTTACATGGAGTTTTTTGTGAACGGAAGAGGAAAAACTTCTAACACAAAAATGTAAAATTAAATTTAAAAAGAGCTCAAGAATTGAAAGGCCAGTTGGAGACTTTTTGAAGTCCCACCCATTTTACGTTTCCCTTAGGTTTTCACATTTTATTTTTGCTCAAAGAATTATACGAACAAAACGAGCTTGTATTATTGTTCTACATGCGTGCAATATGCATAAAATTTACAATTAGTAAACGAGTTTTTTCCCCAGACCCTCACCCTTAATTACTACTCACCAAAGTTGACAGGAGGAGACAGACGGAAATTACCAACTTGGCCTTCATGGTGACGAATGGACGTTATTATTAAATTTGAATGTGAACTGACACAAGACTTTTAAGTGATAAATAACTGTTGAAAAATACAATATTGTTATTATAATTAGAAGCTGTGTGAAAACTGAGCTTTAAAATCTATCTTGTAAAATATAAGGAATAGATAGGACTTTTTCAATTAGGTCCATGGAGTTAATTTGTAGACCTTTTAAATGCAATAAAATGCATTTGTAGTATCAATTAAAAAAAGAATACTCGCGACTAGACTGAGTCAGATGCGTAAATGGTACTGGTACAAACACTTGATAGGCACATTTACAATGGTACATTTGATAATTCAAGTGGTTCATATACATAAACAATTGATTCATCGTCTTTTTTCACGACTACAAACTATCTTAACGCGTCACTTTCGTCTGATATTTGGGTGCTCATGACACGAGATTAAATTTTTTTAAAGTATTGTCCAGTTCTGTCTCTTCTATCTCCTCTTTGGATTTAGAAGTTAACCAACCGTAAGTTAGTGTCAATAGGAACAACGGACGATTACTAATTGTTACTGTCAGTATTGTGATGCAAATATTGATCAAATCCTTCGCTTCCACATGTACCGCGCAAAAATGAACTCGAGAAAAAGCAAACAAGTCTTTTTAGTGTGCAAACACCACACTAAACACCAATGTACAACAACACAGTCAGGCTCCAGAAGCGCTGCCAAGAACCACACGTACAAAAATGTCCCATGAGTACGCCTGTTTCCGTACTCTGACCGTTAATTTCCCGTGCGTAATTACCCTCCACTCCAAGTCCACGCATGTCCTTAATTGGCTTGCTTCTCGCCCACCCGAAAGACAAAGCCATCAACGGATTCACACAAAATATACAGGCTTTACCATCTCGAGCCAAGCATCAAAGTCACCTATTCCTTGTTTTTATAGAAGCAGCCTCATACACCCTTCCAAAACCTCTGCATGCTGAATCAAAATCATTTGTATCTAAATTTAGAAAAAAATTCGAGAAATGTATTGCGCTTCATCATAGATACACACATCATACGCTCACAAATGTTACAGGTACAACCCACATGTCGTCATAAACACAATAATTATCCCTCAGCCAAATTTAGTCCCAAACTGTTTAACTAACTGAGCTTCTCGGCTAACCCCTACGCAAAATATTACAAGCTATTCAAAAGCTTCGAACTACTCGCATTATGTCCTCTGCTTAAATTCCACCCTTGTACACATATTCACCAACCTTCCCACTATTCCTAGCGAAATTAGCGATTACGTGGAATTCCACTAAGCCCACTATTCCTAGGCAGAATTAACGATCATGTTGTAAGTGCAGTTAGTCAATGTGAAAATGACGCAATTGACTTCCACCTCCTTTCACTAGCATTCACAAACCTCAACATAACAACAGGCTTGATGCACCTGGATCTCAGTTTCCATAATAAATCAAGGTGCGGCAGAGTGGCGCTCGATGTAGACGATAAGCGATTAACGTGATAACAAATACTAAAATCCCCTTCTGCCTCTAGACTATAGAGTATCGTAAGATTTACCACCCATTATCATAATCATCACCACCGTTACCGTACGCATCATTTGCATTCATCTTAAAAATGCGATTTGCATTCATCATTCATTTGCATTCATCATTTGCATTCATCATTTGCATTCATTCATCATTCACCACTCGGACACTTGACTACGTTGGGCTTGACCTAGTGGAGGCCACTGCACGCGACCAGCGTGCAGTGGTGCGTCGTCCACCGCCGGCAAGAGCAACTTCCCGCCTCCTGTGATACGAAGGGACCAGTCAGGTGTTGGTGCGCAGGTGAAGTGAACTGTGTGCCGCAAAGTATAATATGGCGTAGGAAATATGACGCAAGTATCTCGTGGCACGGGAAAGTGACTCGTGTGAATTGATATTGGTGTAATTCGGCAATTTTGATCTTAATGCAAGTGTGATTAAAGACTAGAGCATGCTTTTTATTAAAAATATTCTTATTCTTTTTTTTTCGATGTATGGAACAAAATTTCTGGCTGATGCCGGGAGATTAAAAAGCATGCTACCAAATGTCATTTTAATGGAATGCGACGTTTCGTAATTACAATTTTCATTATCAAGCAGGTGAAGATTTTCATATGTCCGCATTTACAGTTTATCATTTTTCTTATGTCAGCATTTACAGTTTAACATCATTCCAGCTTTATTTCTTCATCAGTTCACATTGTTGTAAAGTAGAAGTGTGTGTTGCAAGGTAGAATTATAACATTTTATGTACTATATTTTGTGTTATATTATGTGTTCTTTTCGCCTGTCTCACGCTAGCCTTGTATCCAAGTAACTGTGATTAGTCACATATAGTATTCCAGCTATGATTGGTTGTGTGGTGATCTTGCCAATATGCTATATGTTTTGGTTAATTCAATACCCTTATAGAATTATACACTGAGTCCAGGTTTACGTTCCTTCACCTGTTCGTGTTAACAATTTTTCATTTTTCTACGTTTAAATCTTTTCACCAGTCCACGTTTACATTTTTTATCAGTCCAAAATTATTTTGTTCGTGAGTCTACATTTACAGTTTTACCATATACCGTATTTTCCGTTTTGAATTAATCCATATTAAAATTTGTCATCAGTCTACGTTCACATTTTTCATCAGTCCAACTTAACAGTTCTTTCCAGTCCATGTTAAAAATTTTATATCGGTCCAAATTTTTATTTTACATCGGTCCACTATAAGTCTACCAAAAGTTTTCATCAGTACACATTTACACTCTGCATCAGTCCGCTATACAGTTTTCATCAGACCATATTTACACTCTGCATCAGTCCACTAAACAGTTTTCATCAGACCCCATTAACACTCTGCATCAATCCACTATACAGTTTTCACCAGACCACATTTACACTCTGCATCACTCCACTAAAGAGTTTTCATCAGACCACATTTACACTCTGCATCAGTCCACTATACAGTTTTCATCAGACCACATTTACACACTGCATCAATCCGCTTAACAGTTTTCATCAGACCACATTTACACACTGAATCAGAAGCATGTACAATTTATTACGACACATGGAAGAGTTAAATAGAACGTGCTATGATCTTTATGCTACTATCTGCTGTATTCGATGAGTTTTATTCACAACTCAGTACATCGACCTGGTAACAGCTGTGCTAAGTCCAAGGTCTCTTGTCGCTCAGTCCATCTATCGGTTAGCTTTGCTCATGTCTTTCCATTATATTATGAGTTAAATAAAACAAATATATCGTACGTTTAAAGAATATTCAACATAATTTTACAAGCTTGAGATGACTTTAAAACTGTTTTATACGTTGTTTTTAAATCGAGTCACATTTCGGGAAAAGTTATGCCACATCTCTATTTCTTTAAATACGATAAAACAGATTTTACTTTAGACTCAAATTATATTTTATTATCTTCTATTTTAAGCTCGCAACCAAAACCAAACTCTTTACATGGAATAATAAATCAACAAAATATTACTAACAATATTGATTCGTTCTAAGTTTTAGTAGATATCACTTCAAAACTAACGCAGTAGTACAACTTCTCCCTACATGAATTTTAGTCGTTGCCACTTCACTTGACGTTATTGATGTAGATTTTTGGTGGAGTTTTTGACCGAGCAGTTCAACGCATTCATTTGATTTTTAGATGAACATGAGTTCGTTGAATTAATTAATGGACCGATAGTTACATTGGAACTAATTGCTAACAAGGTTCCGATCTTCAATAGGATGAACAATTTACGACGACATGTACGGATTAAATAGAACGTGCCATGATTTTTATAAGAATTTCTGCTGTATTCGATGATGTTTGTTCACGACTCAAATGGTCTTTGTTCACGACTCAAATGGTCTTTGTTCACTCACCACAGTTTTTACCACTCCGGTCACAGCTGTGGCTCATATATCTGTGGTCTAGTTCAGTTCATCTGTCGATTAGCATATGTTCAAGTCTCACTAATATACAATGGCTAAAAGTCCACAAATATATCGTACGTTAAAAGCTTATAAAATACAATTTCACAATCTCTGAATGAGTTTAAACAAGTTTTGGACGTTATTTTTTCATCGAGTCACTTCTCGACATACGTCATGCCACATCTCTAATTTTATTTGTAAATATATTAAAGCGGAGGTGAGTGGTGAGAGCGGGGAGTGTCTCGTGGTAACCAGGCAGCATCTGACCCGCGGTCTCGCCCTGAAGTTAAGCGAGACTGTCTCGTGTAATAATGACTTGAAGTTAAGCGAGACTGTCTCGTATAATAATGACTTGAAGTTAAGCGAGGCTGTCTCGTATAATAATGACTTGAAGTTAAACGAGACTGTCTCGTATGATAATTACTTGAAGTTAAGCGAGACTGTCTCGTATAATAATGACTTGAAGTTAAGCGAGACTGTCTCGTATAATAATGACTTGAAGTTAAGGGAGACTGTCTCGTATAATAATGACTTGAAGTTAAGCGAGACTGTCTCGTGTAATAATGACTTGTCTTGTCGAGAATTTTATAGCGAAGAGAATGCCATGTAACTAAGTAAATTCATTAAATTTTCGTTAAAAACGTTCTCTGTAACATATGGTGAGTTTACTTGCCGTTCTATGCTCTCAAATTCTCCTTCATAACATAGCCTATTTTGTGATTTTGCAATTTTGGCGAAATTCTTTGGTAAAATTTTGCAGGAAAATAAGATTCACTGTTTTTTTAATTATTAATTGTTTGTTCTCCCTAAACTGTACGTTTAACTTCCAGTTAAACTGTAATTGTAATTTAATTTGTTTACTATAATTTCTCAAATTGAAATAGAAGAAAACACATTAATCTTATAAATACACAATTATTTATTTTATGATATTCAATTAGACTATGTTTTTTGGGGATATAATTAATTCAATTATTAATAAATAATTTTGGTTACTAGTCAAAAACAAGTAGCAATAAAAGCCTGGTAATTTCTGGTCACATACAGCAATAGAAATCTTCAAGTTTCG